TGACCGTGGTGACCCAAGGTGGCCCAGCGACCCACCGGTGGCAGGGCCACCAAACTCCGTCGTCCTGATGCCCCACCCCTAGGAAGCCTAAGTTTAAAGTTTCAGGGTCAGGGATCAAACCGTCTAGGAGGAGAAGCGACTACGCACAGACATTTACGCTCATTAGTAAGGTAGATTTTTTGACGGAAAAACATGGGGAAAACTCCAAGTTTTCCGGGGTAGGCAGTTCCTTCCATACATCCTTGGAGTTTTAAATGAGATTTCAGCTTTATACTTGCGTTTGGAAATGTTAATTTAAGGCAATTTTGACACCCAAAATCTCACAATGTGATCAATTTCACACATATAAAAGTTTCACCTTAATGTGAATATGTAAAAATTCAAGGTAGATCATTCAAGTGATATTTCAAGGAACTATATTTAGCCACTTGAAGGGATAGTGAATTTTATGGAACTTTTGAAAAATGAAAAAATCTCGAAAAGGACAATAAATCCTATGTAATTAGAAAGATCTCAAGCTGTCCCTTTTGATGACACACCCCTTGATACCGCGAGAACACCAACAAATCGAGAAATACTTGACAAAACGTGGCCACAAGTAAGGATATTCTAATGAGGAGGTAAGATTTTTTCTATGTAGCGGGCACAAAAGTAATATTAATAACTTGCTTAATTGATGCATATGAAAGAGGAGTGTAACATACTCTGACGAGAGATTTGTAGTTTACACTGTATCTAGCCACATAGGGATATTTTGGGGGTCAAAATGGCCCAAATTTCAAATTATCAAACTCAACTATGACGCTGAAAACTCATTCAAAACTTCAAGGATCCATGGAAGTAACTGTTCATTGAGTGAAGAGTTCCGGTTGAAACAATTTCACGCCAGCGAACAATGAACGGTTGTTGAGATATAAATTTTGCCGTGCAAAGGAAGTTTTTCATATTCCCCAAAAGCTTTAGGGTCCATATCTGGCAAACCGCAGATCCGTGGGAATAAATTTGATCATTGGTTGAGTTGACTGGTTGACTGTCATTGCTGATAACTTTTATATTGGAATCGGATATGATCGAATGCCATTTTATATTAGGATTTGCTTAGTTCGTATTGAATGATCCGAAGGTCTACGAGTCCAATCATTGCAGTTGAAGCAATGGCAAGAGCTCCTTCACAACATCCTTTAAATAAGCGTTGCAAGCCAATAGAATGTGTTTGGAATCATTCCGCATGAATAACATTCAGCCAAAACATGACCATTGGTATTAAATGTGGGATAAGATATAGGGGTTGGATGTTGACCTTGCGGCAAAAAAATAGCACATGGCGCGCACATGGTTGGTCGATCATCTCCGATTTGGATAAAAGCCAGCCTACAGACCACTTTTAGGTAGGTCAGCCTTTCCAAAGGCATTTTTGCTCAAGCGAAAAGGGTAAACGTATAAGGGTGAAAGGTTGCGGGCATGCAATTACCGATTTCGTAAAAACAGTATTTTTTTAGGTAAAACGCATCAGGTTACATTTCCCTGAATCTTTTTTTTAAATCTTTTTTGACCGGGCGATAAAAAGTTGAAACCTGGCGGAGAAGTGCCTGTTGGATTACCAATTACAGAAAATATCCAACATTTGAAATAGTTTTCCACAGGGAGGACTATGGGAGGGAGGTATATCAAGATTTCTTTTTCACTCTGACAAATGAAGGCATATGAGAAAGAAATTTAATTCAGGCACACAAGATATCATTTGAGAAATCATTTGAGTTATGATTTCAATTTTTTTTTAATCTTGGTCCCCTCATGGCACACATTTCGACAGGGATGCACTTGAAAGATGTTTTTTGCTAATTCTAAGAACGTCCTTATTGAAAGCTGAAATTTGGTACACAAGTGTTTCTCTCGAATTAGTAACGTTTTCAGTTGTGAGGTTAATCCTGAAAGACTTTCTTTTTTTATAGAATTTTCTACGAAATACCACGTACATTTTTTATGACACATTCAAGCAAGAATATACGAAGTGGAAAAATAGGCAACTGATATTTGGTAAACCTGCAGTTCTTGGGGTACTGATTCTAGGGAATTTTCCTATTTTTAAGGTACATCCCCCACAAGGACCTATTTTTTAAACACATGCATTCACAAAAATTTTCCCTCTCACGAAACGGAAAGTCGGAAACTGAAACTTTGCCACGATTAAGCACCAAACTCGCGACCATAGGGAGTTTTTTGCTCGAGGGACAAGCAAACTCGCTAGTCATCAAATAAAAACCATGTCAGGCATTTTTCACATGTTACACAATTTGACATTACATCAGTGAGAGATGTCAGCATCACATTATCCAATTCATCATCATAATATGACATTAATATTTGGCATGCTGAAAAAATACATCCAAAAATTAATCATGATTGGGTGACCGTTAAAATAATTCCTTTTGTGTCCAATTTTGGCCAAGGACAAATGTTGTCAATTTCAATTTCGATATGAATAACATGATTGCCAACTGACACCAAGAGATACGTGAGTGTAAGCATTTTGGAAATATGTTTCATTCGAGATGGAATGCACAAATAACTGCCCCCAAAATTCACGAAATGCCTTTAAAAAATCAGCTTTTTGCTTATTTTTCAAATAAAAAAACCAATAAAATGATTACAGGACGTATTTCCATATTTGTACAGAGTACCTACCTCCAAGTAAGCTATACATTATTTTCAGAAACATATGTCCATTTGTTTTGGAGATACAGCCAATTAAAAGTGTGAGAAGGCAGCGATTTGGCAAGTCACTCTTTCGTAGCCTTCCACTTAGAATTTTTTTCTTCGAAACTATTGCATATACAGGGGATAATTAGCAACAATATTTCATTACCTGCATGGAAGGATCACATATATATAAATATATTTTAAATCAAAGGCAACCTAACGCGAAAACGATGGCTCAACATAATTTGAAATGAAGTCACCCAGGCGCGCTTGAACAGACATCATGATTTATGTAGATTTACTTGGAATATGTCATTACCATGGGGCGCCAAAGCATTCGCTCCACGAAATCAAATTCAGGTAAAAGCAACTTTTTTTTATTTGAAGTAATTACCATAATCAAGAATTATTGTTGTTTCACCAATGTCATAATAATCAATTGTCGATACGCGATTGGGAAATTCTGATCGAAATCGATTATCTTCTTTATTTATCCACATTTCGATTTGCCCTACTTAATATTAAACCTTTCCATCAAATAAATTGGCACATTTAAACGGGTGATACATATTTGAAAGAAATGCCAAGAATCAATACTACGGCGTTTGCAACTCTTTCGGGAAACGCCAATTACACTCCGCTCATGAATTTATTATTCTCATGCATCCTACTTATGAATGTCCTGCATTTTCTCCTAAGATCAAATTATGTTTTCAGGACCATTCGAATGTGAGGGCCGAGGCTGTGGATGCTGTTAGGCACAGGTTGAAACCGAATCGCACAAGCTACCAAATATAATTGCTGAATGTTTCCTCCATTATGACAAAAAACTCCCTCCCGGTTTGGTTGAATGAAAATTGAAAGTGAATTTAGTAATTTAAAATGGTTTCTTTTTCATTTGTCTATGTAAGTCGGTCAAATGCGTTAGATGCTTTGCATGGCCCTTTTTTTCAGTAGCAAAACCTAGGTCGCGTGATATGGACGGGCAAATGTGAAAATTCGCCTTCACTACTTAAATTATAATTTTCAGTGAACCGTATCGGCAGTGAATTTTTCTTCATCATTAAGCGAATAAGTCTGGAGTCATTCAGCGAATATTAATGCAGACCAATTTTTTTGTCAGTCTTTGCAAAAACTGCGACAATACCTACATATTGATTCCTTCTGCTGAATATTTTCTCATCTCTGTTTCTATTTTTGGTGAACGGGAACGAGGCCGTGGGAAAATTTGTACTGAGACATGACCACATTTAATTACTTGATTTATAACAGGCTGAAAAGGCAGTGGAAGTACTGAACGTACTTTAGACACTAAGGAATCCCATAGACAGGTTCTTCTGCATCATTCCGATTCAGGCATCAGTTCTTTTCAATTCATTTAATCATCAGTTCCTTTGCTATCCAAGTAATCATATGACGCTCTTGGAATTTTTGGAATTGCTCATGGGTTGAGACACCGTACTCCCGCAGTTTCATGTTACCGCCCTCATTTTTTAAATTGTGATTTTCTTTTTCATTACCGTTATTCATGATCTGGTGGATGTGTGAGACGGCGAACTAAAGACTATTTAATATTCCGAATTGTGCGCGTAAAAAAGAGGGAATACGCTCCTGTCCCTGGCTGAGATCCGGAGCGCATCACCGGAACGTCCTGCGAGATAGGGCAATGTACAAAGGAAGCCCAATGGACGTACCAGGGATCATCCTTCGACTCCGTGCTTTAACCATCTTCAATTTCAGCCCTTCCAGGATATCCGATAACAGGGAGTGAACTGAGATGCACCTCAGCAACAGCAGCAAGGCGGAGCTGGAGGAGGACATCCAGGCGACGGGGAGACTCTACGAGCACGAGCCAGAACCCCAAGAGCACGTGAACGTCGGCACGGGCCCCACGAACAAAGTCTACAAGAAGCAGTACTTCTGGTATACCATAACTGCCTTTTCCATCCTCCACGTCGGTGCCGTTTATGGCATCTACATCGTAGCCACACGGGGATATTGGACAACGATCATTTTTGGTTCGTTTCCCTTAAGTACTTTCCCCTAAATTACGGAATTGTTCAACCTGATAAAATCGTTTCACATTAGCATGCATAGTTCCTAACTAAATACTTGATGTATACATACAATTCACTTACATCTCCGCATTTTAAATACCTCCGGAAACCTCCGTGCTCATTTTTTTCCAAGTTATTTTATCCTCTTGAAAGGTATCCTACTGGGATTAGCATCGGGACTTGGAATCACGGCAGGAGCTCATCGCCTTTGGTGTCACAGGAGCTACAATGCAAAATTTCCCCTTCGTCTCCTCCTGGCGTTCCTCAATACCGTCGCTGTTCAAGTCAGGACCAAGCTTCATTGTACTATGATGGTGAGAAAGCCCATCATATTGAAGGAAAGTTTTGCTTCCATCTCAGAATAACATCTACACATGGAGTCGAGACCATCGCACGCACCACAGGTTCAGCGAGACGGACGCCGATCCCTACAACGCGAAAAGAGGCTTCTTCTTTTCTCACATCGGGTGGCTTGTGACCAGCAAGCATCCGGAGGTGACGAGGAAAGGCCAAACCATCGACTGCAGCGATCTGCTGGAGGATCCCCTCGTTTACTACCAAAGGAAGTTTGTATAAACCGATCGCTTCTGTTCATTGCTTTACAAAAATCTGAAGGAAATCTTGTATGAAGGAAAATCTGACTGGAAAGAAATACCTTTCCAGAGTCGGATATGTAGGTATATGTAGGTTTAATGTAGACACTGTAAGCTCGCGTCTTCCGATGTCAATACTATAACAACGACCGTGGTATATAATGAAATGTAAACGGTGAACATTTGTTAACCTCCGCAAAAATTTGTTTTTCATTGTATGGACATTTAAAAGCATGGGTTCATAGCTTTGCATAGATACATTATTGCAAATGTTTCGTAAGAATCGTATGGTTCAAGAATTTCCTTATTATTTAAGGATTTGCACGAGTTGTACCTGATATGAAAAAATGTTTACTTACAGAATTTCAACATTTCTTTACATCACTTACCAAACGCCACATTCAGAAGGCACTTGGATAACACGTGCATATTCGGTGATCGCTGTGAAGCATGTTTGCTTCACATGTGTTTCATTGTTTGTTCTAATGTGAAATTCCAATTGTGCTTCTCCTAAAATCTTCTCTTATAGCTCTACTGGAATAAATGGGAAGCAAACACAGGAAATAGTTCGCTGTATGACAGGTACGTGAACTTGAGGCGAAGTGGCTGAAGCACACCTAAATCGCATATTTCCATTTCAAATATAAATGACAGTCGTAATTTCACAAGACAAGGTATTTGTAAGGTTCTGAAGTTGGATAAAAATGAATCCAAGCGGTTATGAGCCTTTAACATGTCAACCCATGGAAGGGCTTCCCTCACCTTGCGTGACATGCGTCGATACGGTCCCACAACTTGAGGTTTTGCATGTATGCCGAGTTATACATTCAGGGAATGTATTGTGCAGGGTCTCCTCCTGACTTTTCAGGTACTATTTCTGGCTGGCGGCGTTTTGCAGCTTTATCTTCCCCGCGATCACTCCCTGGAAGTTATGGGGAGAAGACCTATGGGTCGCCTTCTGGTTCTGCTCGGTCACGAGATGCACCTTCGTCCTTAACGGGACGTTTTTGGTGAACAGTGCTGCGCACCTCTGGGGAACCAAGCCGTATGACAAGTGAGACATTTCTTGGCCTCTTGAAAGCCCTGCTGTTCCCAGGCTTAATTCTACGCTCTGAAAAATCAGAAAAAATGTGTTAACGTCTAGGGAGAACTTAATGAATCATCCTCATTCGAAAGGTTTTCTCTTATATCTCCTTAAGAGCTCTTTCAGATTCATTCTTTGGCCTCTCGTAATGCTAGGTGTTTCTCCTAAGTGAACATATATTAGATGAAGGCAATGTTTGGATAAACCTGCATTGAATACATTACATTCGAAATTAACTTCCAAATTTTCAGCTATATATTCGCTGACTCGTGAGGTTATAATGTTCGTTACCTGTACTAAAAAGAAAGCCCATGATATAAAACCATCCCTGAGTGTTTTGAGTTTTGGCCAGAACCCTAGAAACAGGAGGTGATGTACGACACAATGTATGACTCATAGAGATATGGTTGACCTAGTCAGACTGGATCGATAACAATCTGATAGTTCATCGTACACGAAATGCAACACTCTCTAGGAACACCGTAGGGATGGAGCAGCCGATCGTGGGAGCCCTGGCGCTCGGCGAGGGATGGCACAACTACCACCACGTCTTCCCCTGGGACTACAAGACCTCGGAGCTGCCCTGGTACCGCCTGAACCTGACGACGATGTTCATCGACGCGGCCGCCTACCTGGGCCAGGCCTACGACCTCAAGACGGTCGACCCGAAGGTGGTGGAGCAGCGGGTGAAGCGGACCGGCGATGGCTCTCACTTCAAGTGGGGGGACGAGCCCGAACGGCTGGAAAAAGAGCAGCAACGACTGGAACAGCAACAACAATCAGATACTTATCCGACGTCCATCGATTCCAAATTACTTAAAGACGAATGAAACAGAGCAGGGCCAAAAAGCATCGACAATCATTTGCGAATCGTAAAAATGAATATGAATGTTGCAGTGGACCAGAAGTTATCGCAAAGCATCATGCACGTCGTTTACTGTATCAACTCGTGTTCGGCTGCACTGCGAAAATGTTTCTGGAGTTATATTTTTGTAGCGGTGTTTGTGAGTGGCTTGCGCCATGATATCTTGCTTTTGTACGGTGGTATATCTACAGTATCGTTCAAAGTATTTCGTCACCCTGAACTTCCCCTGAAAACACCGAAGAGCCAGGTTCAAACGTGATACCGTATTCCCGTTGCGACCGAAGAAAATTTATTTCTTACACTTTAGTGTTGCAGGCAAAAAAAAATTCGATCTGTCCATATCGATGTATGTAAACACTCCAGACAGACAACATGCACATATCCTCCGTTGTTTAAAGCGTTCCACCCAAAATTAAATATTTGGTGGATTCTTTCGTTCGTTCCCATTCTGCCACCACCCAATGCTTTGAATAATTTGAAATGTTTTTGCACTTTCTGCTGCCCGGAACTGAATAAAACCTCCTCAAGCACGACGGCAAGTGATATTAATTTCCTTCTCACGCCGACTCCCTCATGAAACCTCCACCTGCCATGTGGATTTGAGAACCAGGTGGATGTCCCGTTATGCTTGTTTACATTTTTTGGAGCAGGGTCGACCTGGTTGAAAATCCACCCAAACATCCACCTGGCTCGAGAAACACGAAGCGGATTTCCACTAGGTGGAACTTTCACCTGGTTCCAAATCGAAGACATTTTCTGTACGGCGAAGGGAATCTTTTATCTCAGAGCGGAAACGCATTTCCCTTCGCGAAATAACTCCCGAATGTGGGCCGCGAATTCCGTCGTCCTTGCGTTTGTTATGCAATGATCCTCTTCATCGTGTAGTTCGTGCTGCGCTGGGTAGATGGCGACGCGGTTGTGTTGGGGTTCGGGTCTTTGCTTGGATGTGAATTTAAAAACGGAAAATTAAACTAATTAATAAAAATTCTCCCAATTTAAGCCACCCTTACAGTCTGTTCAGCTGTTTCCCAAGTCAAGCTCAGGGTGTTAAATCGCTGCATGCGATCAAGGACATGACCTTGAAGATGAAGATGAAGAGGTTTCCATCTTCCCGCGCCCTCATCCTAATCCCTTATCCTAATACGGTCTATCTGTTACTTTGAGAAGTCAATTTGTTTGTGTCGTCATTCAAAAGGGTTGCAGGGTGTTGCGTCCGATCTGAAAACGGCCGGAAAACGGCCGATGGAAGTCACCGGTTCGAGGCAAGATGCATAAACTTTCACTCGTGTACAACGTGCTGAACGAATTGCGAGTGATGTCGGAACTTCAAGATGCTCGGGTATCTTGAAGATTGCTGAACGGCAGTCGGAAAATCATCGCCTGCCAACTACACCGCAATTGCGACGCTCGAGAAGGAGCGTCCGGTCCTGGGCGACGCGAGGATCGATCGGGGGACTTCCCGGCGAACGCGGATCGCCGGCGGACGCGGATCGCCGGCGGACGCGGATCGCCGGCGGGGAGCGTCCGTCGCTGGCACTCGTCGGGTGGGTCTGTTCAGCCTGTTCCGTCGGCTGAGGGTTCCAAATCGGTACCTTAGGATGCGAAAGTCGCACTTCGGGTTTCGCTTTTTGCACGTTGGCGATGAAATCGGTCAAATTTTGTGAAAATTTCGCCGAGTTTTTGGGATCTGTTCAAACCGCTATGAAAACGGAGGCAGAGTTTTGACAAACGGACGTTAGCAATCGGGGAAAAACTGTAAAAGCCTTTCCCTTTCCTTAACCCCTTCTCCCCCCTCGCCCTCCCCCTCCCCTCCCCCCTCGCCCTCCCCCTCCCCTCCCCCTCCCTCAGAGCTGCTCTCAAGAGCATGAAAAGTTCACGACGTTTTCGAGTGGGAATTTCGAAGAAAATGGAATTTCTCGAGCTTGCCCGAATTCAACACTTCCCCCTTGTGCAGCGCGGTGAAATTGGAACGTTCACGCTTTGAAAGTCATTTTTCATGAACATCAAACACCTGGATACATTTTCGGAACAGATCGTGCAATGAAGACATGTTTTCACGATAATAAATATAACTAAAAAAAATGGAGTTTCGACATAGTTCTACAGGCTAGCAAGTTGAAATGGCATTTACGTGCATGCAATGATCGCTTCATTATTTTTGGAACGAGCGTGGCTTTAATGACAGATGATGGAGAAGATCTTCACGAGTTTTCGGAAGAACTAAAGAGCACTCTTTCAATTTCTAAGACATCAAATACTTTATACTCCTAGTGAATTATAATTTTTAGGCCTATACCCGTCACACGACGCGCTCCGCCCACAGCGCATCCAAAATGTCAGGCTCGAAGGTGAAGAGGAATCCCACGAAAAATTTTACATTTTACATGAGTTTACACGAGGCATGGTTTCTCAGATGTGATAAAAACTCCAGTGCAATTTTTTTTTTAGATGCGCGATCGACGACGTACTGTCATCCTGAATGATCTAGGCAAATCGGGGACAGAGGGGAAGTCGCCCTCAAACGAATCTAGGAGTCATCATGCCGGAAAAAAATGGATCGGAAAGGGACATCCGCGAGGAGAGTGGGGAGTGGGAGAGACAGGTTGCAACGGACCGGAAAAGCAAGTATACCATCAGCATCTTCCCGCTTCCTCGGTCCCTCTCACCCTCTCCCTCCTGGCTCTGGAATTTTGGAATTCTGGATCGTTTCGAACCGGAATCGAGAAACCGAGTGAGAGGGCTCAGAGGAAAGGGAAAATCTTACTCTCCAGTTGTTAACTCGTGGAACTTACCGCTCGTTTGTGCCATTCGAACGATACTTTCACCCGATATGAACTTACATGCCTGCTAAAAGCCTTTCAAATTTCATGGAAATGTGTTACGATGCAGTAGTGCGAGAACCGTTTTTATAAGGCTTTCAGTGTCCTTAAGACTGAAGATCCATACGCCAATAAGCATGCAGAAAAAGTCAGGAATCCGACGTAATCCCCCCCCCCCCCCTTGGGATACATTTTACAGGTTAGATTCTTTTTAAAAAAAAATAGTTTTGTTTACTATAAAAGCAGGGTGGGTTACCCTTTTCTTATATGTCATTCCTCTCATTTAGATTTCCTGGACACGCTACTGAGTATCCCTCTCTTACGATTTATGCTTCCCCTTTCGAGCGAGACGCCCTATCTCAAACGCTGGCCCTGAATATCATGCAGACTTTGGGTTGAACACTGATTTCTACTCCGTCTTGCGACTTCGCCCATCGGATGTGGACGGAGAAGAACCATATGCAACAATTCATCGTAGACGGTATCCCCTACATGAAATTGCATAAAGAGGGGGAAAATGGATTCAGGCACGGTAATTAATTTTTTAAATATAAGTATATCTCAATTACGTTTTCGTTTCTTAGAATCCTCATTGTGTCCTGGGAGACATAAGTGATATCTGTCGAGAAGATAATCAAGTATGCCGAATCCATATTCCTGCCCTCATTCGTATAAGGCAATACCACCGTTACAAAGAGGAGCCACATAATGTTCTTCCTCCGAACGTTGCGAGCATTCAAGACTTGGCGAGAAATTTCCCCGGTAAAGTGCCCGAATCTGAATTTTCAGCCACGTGGGACGTACACCTCGGAATATACTGAACACGTTCCTTCGCAAAAAAACAACGATGGAACCTCCATAACTTACTCATTCCAATTTCGAAACTTCAATTTCAAAAGCCGCTAGAGGAACGGTGTCCGTAGGAAAAATACAGGTTGCTTCTATCTGCCACTGATTCTGATAGCAGCGGGAAAGATCACAATTTCTATTCAGCTGTACGTATAGAGTATAATTTTCGGACAACAAGGCTCCCAATTCCGTTGAGGAAAATGCCTTTGCACTACAAAATGAAGTTTCATAAAGTAAAAATATCCCTTGCAGTTGACATGATATTTCATACGTAAAACTTGATGTATGAAGGTATGAATGTATACACAAAGCGTGAATGAACCAGTGAAAACGAGAGTGTATTCGGTACGTTGCATCGTGTATGGGATTATGAAGAGCGATGAGGTAGAAGGAACGAAGAGAGTTACTTCCCTATCCCAGTCACACGTCGACGGCGAGACAGGAGACGAGAAGGCGGGTGCCATGCACGTCCTGGCAGGAGACTCAGGGAAGGGGAAGGGGAGAGGGGGGGGGGGGAATGAGGAAGGAACCGCTAGAGGAACGGTGTCTGAAAGAAAAATACAGGTTGAATCTATCTGCCACTGATTCTGATAGCAGCGGGAAAGACCACAATTTCTATTCAGCTGTACGTATAGAGTATAATTTTCGGACAACAAGGCTCCCAATTCCGTTGAGGAAAATGTCTTTGCATTACAAAATGAAGTTTCATAAAGTAAAATATCCCTTGCAGTTGACACGATATTTCATACGTAAAACTTGATGTATGAAGGCTCCATACACAAAGCGTGAATGAACCAGTGAAAACGAGAGTGTATTCGGTACGTTGCATCGTGGATGGGATTATGAAGAGCAATGAGGTAGAAGGAACGAAGAGAGTTACTTCCCTATCCCAGTCACACGTCCAGACGGCGAGACAGGAGACGAGAAGGTGGGTGCCATGCACGTCCTGGCAGGAGACTCAGGAGAGGGGAAGGGGAGAAGAGGGGGAATGAGGAAGGAGTATGTGTGAGAGGATTGTGCGAGGGGGGGACGTGAGCGGGGGGAAGTAAGGTGGGTGCCATGCACGTCCTGGCAGGAGACTCACGGGAGGGGAAGGGGAGAAGAGGGGGAATGAGGAAGGAGTATGTGTGAGAGGATTGTGCGAGGGGGGGACGTGAGCGGGGGGAAGTCCGCAACTGGGAACAGCCAGTCGGGGCAGCATGAATTTTTATACCGATTCTGTTTAAAATATTGCTATCTCCTAATGACTGGAATGAATTTCACAAATTTGGTTTCAATCACACCCTTAAACATATCCCTACATTTTATAGTAAGCTATATTGGAATTTTGAGGCCCAGAGAAGAGAAAGAGCACATGATATAATTGACATGCCGAAAAATTTCAAACCTAATCCCTAATCCCTAAAATCCCTAAGGATCTGAGTGGGGTGAACAGATTTGTCTGAAAATGGACCTGAAGCTGCTCAAGAGGCTTATACCACAATTCTATCTGTTGAAATTTAAAGGAGTATTTGCGAGGGGGGGACGTGAGCGGGGGGAAATCCGCAACTGGGAACAGCCAGTCGGGGCAGCGTGAATTTCTCTACCGATTCTGTTTAAAGTATTGCTATCTCCTAATGACTGGAATGAATTTCACAAATTTGGTTTCAATCACATCCTGATACATATCCCTACATTTTATAGTAAGTTATGTTGGAATTTTGAGACCCAGAGAAGAGAAAGAGCTCTTAACATAATTGACATGCCCGAAAATGTCAAACCTAGGTTCAGTAAAATCCCTAAGGATCTGAGTGGGGTGAACAGATTTGTCTGAAAATGGACCTGAAGCTGCTCAAGAGGCTTCTCCACAATTCTGTCTGTTGA